CAATCGGACATAGCCCAGGGTTCCCTGGGAATTACTGATCGCGGCCAACTGGGTGCATTCCGTGAACACCAGCACTGCTTTAATTATCCTAGGTGGATCGCATTCCCAATTCCAGACGATCGACGTGCGCAGGAAAGACTGTTTACAACTTCGAAACCGGAGACCCCAAACAGCCCCCTTCAAACGATGCACGTTAACTCACAACGCTCATTAACTCCGCACAAACGAGCAGCACCCTTACAGATTTGCCATCTGTTTGCAAGAATTCGGAAACCCTTCCGCCCTGAGCGTCTCCACAGCTCCGCTAGAACACCTTCACACGCGACACCGCACGCAGGGCCGCGTGGTGGGCCGCAACCATGCTGATTTCCACCTCAATCGCCGCTGGCCGCGCTGGGACCACAATTTGACGCTCCTGCGGCGAATGCGGCGAACCGGCAGCATGGACGCCGCCTGGCCGAGTTATCGTCGAAACCGCATTCAGCGGCTCGGCGAAATGGCTCGTGCGTTGACGAAACTCAATTAGGTGCCGCATATTGCGGGGTGCGTTCGTAGTGGGATGCGGTCTGGGGGAGGCGTTCGAAAAGCGGCTGTGTTGTTCGAATAATCTTGCTTTTTGGACGCTCGAAGGGTCTAGTCCAAACGCACCTCTTCGGAATGTGAAGCGCGCACGTGTTTGTCTAACGCTTTCAATGACGTGGAATTTGCTCTAGTTCTAAAACTTTCCGTGAAAGGTCGACTCAGACCACGAGCGAAACGCGAGGGCGTTTCGAAAGGCAACCACTCTAGACATCAAGTATACCTGGCGAGCATCGCTCATGAATACCGCAGCCTTCTCGCCATTCCTCTCCGGGCGGAGTGGCGCCCAAGCAACCTAATCCATTTTTGACTGCGCCGCGACCGGTTGGCCTATCGATTGGTACCCGAAGCGTCACGTGATCTGTCACGTGCCCATCTGACCCCGACGCGACCGCCGCCGGGGTTTGAATTTTCCATGGCGAACATCCGACGTTACATTCGCTGTCGGTCGCTTCGATCGAGTTTCAAATGGATGGACACGATCATGCAAGGCGACGCGGGGCTGTGGCCGGAATTCCAGGGGTTGTCAACTCAATGTCTGCGCTAAATTTCAGTTTGTGTGTGCGTCAACTCAGCGTTTCCTGGTTTGAAGTGAATGCGTTTTCACCATGGCGCATGGATTACGGTGACCTCACTGCAATAGGCGTCTTTGCCGAAATACATTTTTAATGGTGCCCTTTTAGGTTAGGCCACAGATCCGCGATTGCTGGCAAATTTAGACATTTCAACACTTTAGTCCATTGCTGTTCTCTTCGACGAGCTTCGATTCAAGACTCCGGCTGAAGCTCAGGGAGGGAGCACTGGACGCGCTAAGGAACGAGGGAGCACCGGACGCGCTAGGGAACGCGGGAGCACCGAACGCGCTAGGGAACGAGGGCGCACTGGACGCGCTAGGGAACGAAGGAGCACCGGACGCGCTAGGGAACGAGGGAACACCGGATGCGCTAGGGAACGAGGGAGCACCGAACGCGCTAGGGAACGAGGGCGCACTGGACGCGCTAGGGAGCGAGGGAGCACCGGACGCGCTAGGGAACGAGAGAGCACTGCACGCACTAAGGAACGAGGGAGCACTGGACGCGTTAAGGAACGAGGGAGCACCGGACGGGCTGGAGAACGAGGGAGCACCGGTCGAGCAAGGGAACGAGGAGCACTTTCTCACACCCTTTTCCTTGACCTCTGCCTAGGCTCGCCCAAATTGTACCCCGCCCGTGGCCGCCGCCAGTCAGTCGGTATCCGTCTGCAATGATTCGTTTTCACCGGTAAGATGACGTCACAACGCTGCATGGTTACCCAGGCGACATTCAAAATGTTTCTAACGGTGACGTCACTGTAGCCCAAGCAAAACAGGCTCAGAAAATCCAGGCACAAGACCTGTTTCTTGCTTGCGACCTTGTCCATTCAGAACGTCCTCTATAACTTTGGGATGCGGAAGATGAAATGGCGATGAAAGGACTTCCATGATGACTTGTGAATCTGTTTGCCCTTCATCAGCTGCTTGACAGCAAGTGGCTGATCAAAGGTTAAGACTGCACAAACAGGCACGGCCAAATTAAGCCACGTGCCCAATAGTGTCGACCGTGTCCATAAAACCAAAGATTGTCGAAATCGATTTCAAGAAGATATTTTGGGGTTGGTTGCTGCTGGTCGGTAGGCGGAACGAGGCAATAGGACAGCAATAGACCTGGGCAATGAACCGGCAGCAAGCCTGGACAATAACGCTCAATCACGTAATAACATCCATCAACATGTGCATATGTGCTGGCATGGGTGACAAGAAAATGAGGGAGCCCAGTTTTCAGTACAAGCTTCGTTGCATTCCTTACACTGTTCCGACCGACTTCATTCCCTGACAAAATTACATCATTTCTTAACGTAATTTCTGCTTTGTAGTCTGTGCGAAGTGTAAACATGTGAATACCGCTAGTCATTGGAGAGTTTTAGATCGGACTCAACTATACCGCAAGTATAGTATATGGGGCTCCGCGTAGGCAAACCGTCTTATGTCAAACATGAAAACATGTCCAAAGACGTGGAACTGCGGAACTGTCATGCCCAAAGACGCGGAACTGCGTAGCTATCATGTCCAAAGACGTGGAGCTGCGTAGCTATCCTGTCCAAAGGCGTGGAACTGCGTAGCTATCATGTCCAAAGACGTGGAGCTGCGTAGCTATCCTATCCAAAGGCGTGGAACTGCGTAGCTATCATGTCCCAAGACGTGGAGCTGTGTAGCTATCATGTCCCCGATGACTACCGAATTTTAATCAGATATTATCGGGACGGATTTAGTTGTCAATGAATTGCTCCCGAAGATGACTTAAGAGCTGAAAAACCGCCCTTTACAAATTCCGCTGGCCGCGTATCTTAGGGAAGGCTGAGCAAAATCAACGCAAGGATTTCAAAAGGGTGTGTTCATAGCCATGGTTTAGCTTCAAAACACAAAACGAAAACGACTGGACCGCTATCTAAGGGATGCAACTGGGTCCGGTTTGATCCCTGATAGCTATCGTGTGATTTTTCGGGTTAGGTAAACGCTAATTCGTTAGTTCACACAGTCGATAATTTGAAGCCTTTCTGGTTACGGAACACCTTTGCAGCCAAAGAGACATCAAAACGTTTTCAAGTCAGATTCAGTGCCAAAAAGTGTCATGGAAGCAGTCCAAGGATAAATTGAGATCATCATAGTCCCTCCCTTACCTATTTGATGTTAAAATTATAATTGGCCTGCGCAAGTTACCGACGCATTCGTAAGTAATCATGCTGTACCTAATACGTGCTCAAAAATACGTTTCATGCCGCTTTTGTGAAATGATTCTGCATGTGTTGACAGATGTCATAGCTCAGTGATTTGACTTGGACCTTGACCATTTGTTTGCAAAAGGTGTCGCCAAGTCACGGCTCTGACGCTCATCGATTTTCTTTGTTTCGGCTATGCCGTTTGAGGTCATGTCCGCTCCCTTACCTGACCAGGTTTAAGACGTGCAGGGAAGCTTCATTATGATTTTTATTCCGTGCCCTTTAAAAAAAAACTTCTCTTCATATGGCTCTTGTCACCAAGACAGAATATTTATTCTGATGTATAAATTAGATGTAAATTTCGTGAACATGTTTTCACGTCGTACGTGTTATCGACACCATAATCCTTCCTCGGGAAGGAAAACTGCAACATCTGCGATTTAAATGCCGAACCAGGCTACGCATTTAGAAAACTACTTTCAAAGGGTGAAAGTGGCGTTTCGGACGAGTTCGCCATCGGACAACACCCATGTAATTTGGGGCTCACTCAGCTAGTCGTGACGATAATGACCTTGGATAACGACCCTGGACTTAAGCTCGGTATAAATAGCCCGATGTTGCGCGGAGACGCAGGCCTCATTAAAACTGACAGGCTATTAGCCTGCGAGCGGTGTACCTCGTCGGGTGTTGGTCGCGGCTCGGCATAATGACGTGCCTCAGATAACTATCTGCCGCAAAACGGAAACGGGAAAAGACCTCGCCAGCGCCGCAAGCACCGAAAGCATCTCAGTGTTTTCAATGCGTAGTAACAGATGGGAGAATTGATAGCAGTGCACGAAATGCCGAAGCATCAGATCAATAACGATAGTACAGTAACAGTATAGATTAATTATTTAACAGTTGCTCGTAACAAATGCGACCAACTATTGCACAAGGCGAAAGGCCATTCCAGATGTTGGCTGATCTTGATACTTATGTGTTCATGAAAGAGCATGGTAAGTAGCGCAAATAACGCATGGTTTGCACAGCGCATGCAAAATATACCCAGTTCTTCCCGAGATAACGGCACAGGCCTTTATTTCCAGCGTAATTGATGTCGCGTTCTGCCTGCGAGCATGCAGTTTGGCACGAAATGCTGAACTCTCAGATAGGCTGGCCACCGCTCGTTTTCCCCAGTGTTCATGCCGTTCACTTCCATTTTGCCTTCGAATTCTTGCGAGAGCTTTCATCAGCGCAATTTGTCACACATTCGAGTCGTTCGTCAACGGCACCTCGAGTGCCTCTGGTTACGTTGACATTGACATCTCTCCATCACATTTTGCTGTGACACTGCTACGCGCTGCTGCGGCCTGCAGCAGCCTACAGCCACCAGCCAAAACCTAAAGCCACCTACAGCTACAGCTAGCAGCTTGCAGCCACCCTCTACTGCTATCTAGAGCCAACCATCCGGTCACGATACTCACCATCACCACCCACCCGTTCGACATCTTACCGCTTAACGATCACACCATCTACACTCTTTTTACCTCTAGCTACAACAACGTCTCACATGCCATCGCCTGTCTCGTCCATCTCTCTCGCAAAAGACCACATCCTCACCATCGTATTCACCATCTCACCACCTTACTCTTCACCTGATACGACACTCACAATGTCACTGGCCCACCATCGCACGATCCCTGCTGCAGATGGAGTTCAACATTGCCGGCGTCATCAGCATCATCCTCTTCTACGTGCTGATCCTGCTGGTCGGGATCTGGGCTGCCAGGAAGAAACCCCCGGGAGAGGATGACAGCGAGGACGTCATGCTGGCCGGCAGGAGCATCGGCGTCTTCGTCGGCATTTTCACCATGACCGGTGAGCGGCTGAGCGTACTCCAAGCACTCCAGGAATTCCAGGTGTTCTAGATACTCCACATACTCCAGGCACAAATGCGGACACCCCGTCTCGCCGCCGTCTCCGTGAACATTACACTTGCTAGGCCAACGCAGCGCAGCGCAGTAACATTATGGCACCCGCTTCGCAAAGCAAGATAATGAAAAGGAAAGAGGACCCCATGAAGAGGAATCTCCCTCATATATCACATCGCAGTCGTGGCTAGGAAAATGCCCTAGCTCGATCTTCACTTAGAGCCCAGAATGCTTCTCACTTCTCTACCCGCTGCAGGTAGATCAGGTCCTCAATCACCATGGAGTGTGCATCAGGGCGGGCAGGTTTTTAAAAAGCCAGACACATGATATATATGGTGCATTAGACGACAGGCCAACGTTTTCCCAATTTGAAACAGGCTTGCAGGGAAAAATGTCAGGGAGCATAGCTTCCATTATACGATGAAGTAAACGGGCTGTAGACATTTTGGATTCAAAACACCAAATAAATGTTCATGAGGAGATTTGAGCCACAAACACGTACTTCAGCTAAAGTATTTTAGAACGCGGGTCATGCTGTTTCCGGAATCGAGCTTTGCAGGCCAGCAGTTTATGTAGAACAGCGGAAATATTTTCATTGTGGGCTCATTCATTGGCCCCTGGCACCAACCACCGTGACCGAAAGCACTGTGGCATTGCTGGCACATGGGAGTAGCATCAACTTTTACGGGATCTGTGTTGAAGTAAAAGATAGTCATGAACATTCCAGGTCAAGTAGTGAATGTCGGGGAAAATAACGACTCAAGATGACTCCCATGAAAAACCGCAGGAATGAAAAACCTTGTTGACATGAGCCATGTAATATTACGGAAATACCGCGACTTCCTACGAATTTTGAACGCAAATTATCTCAATTGCGTCCAATCATCTCAACCAAGAGAACATGTTCTTTTTTAGTTATTCAGGTAAACCTTGCTTTCACCTCCACGATCGTCCGATTGGCGCATAGGTCTTAAGGAAAACGGGAGATGGGGGTGGCAAGGAGTAAGGTGGATATGTCGGTTCACCGTTGAAAAACCGCTGCAGTCTGGTAGCAGACGGATCTTTCTCCGCAGACGCGACGGACCTTCTGCTTTTTCGGAAGGCAACATTATGCGACCTTGTGACAAACCTGCGTGTGAAGAGCCAAATAGTTATCTCGCTGCAAAGGGGAAGACCAGAAAGCTGTAGCAACAGCGTCTAAGCCACACCCTTGCCCGTTAGTGGACCGATCACGACGCTCGCGCCCGTTTCAGCGACCTGGGTGGGAGGAGGCTACATCAACGGCACGGCGGAGGTCATCTACGACATGGGCATCGTGTGGTGTCAGGCGCCGTTCGGCTACGCACTCTCGCTGGTGTTCGGTAAGCAGCCCAAGGGTGTAAATACTGCCATCACGGGAAAGCTGCTCGGTTGCGCACTGACATCTTGTGTCTAGTTTTTAGCAGCAGTTGGGCAAGCCTGGCGGCTAAATACAAACGAGGCGTTTGTTATCAGAAGTGAAACTCGTCTACCTCACGGACAGACTCTACCCTAGTTGCGTTCTCCGTTGCGCCCCAACCCCTTGCATCAGCTATCGGGCAAAAAATTGTGCAAAACACATGCGCAAGGTCCGAACAACAATCACCTGGAGAAATCGTTTGGTGCTGGACATAGTGTTCTCCTTTCAAATGTGATAAATGAAGGGAACTACACAGGCTCAAGGTTTGTGGTCAAACGCGTTAAATCTTTGATAACAATTGCACGTTTGGTGATTTAAAGCGTGTGGTCTACGGGGAACATGCTGTTGAACTGAATGCCTAGAAGATTACGGCATACTCCGCTACTGCCTTCAAAATATCCTCTTTTGCCAGGAGTGTCTTGTTTATACTGCAGTAATTACGTAAATGTTTGTGGTTAACGTGGCCTGCTGGGGGACGGGGAACCGTTAGTGCTACTGCCATCATAAACACGCGCTCGGGTGGGGGTCAAATTGACCACCTCCCCCCCCAAAGGTTTTCCAGAATGGTTTCTGAACGGCGCTGCGTAGCCGCGCCAAATTTTGCATAGCTGTAGACAACTGAATAGCGGATCGTTTGGCACCACAGATTTAGATGTACATGGTAAGGTCGCTGATCCAAGACAGGTCAAAGTCAGGCCATGGTTTCAGCGAAGGCAATTTCTAGGGAATCCTTCAATCTGATTCAACAACGGAGGATTAGACGAAGCCATACATCTCTGAGATGCTTTCTTAGGCAACACAGCAGTTGGATAAGGATTTAACATTGACCTCAGGTCAGGTATGAAGGTCACACCAATGTCAAAACCAACCTGTTTTGTTACTTTAGGGCTTGCTGTACGGGATAATTTCTGGTGCTCATTTCGAATTTATTGATAGCAGGGACCACATTGCACACTTTCCATGCCCTTAAAAGAGGTCAGAATATGTTAATGATCCAAAATGATCCAGGTCAACATTTTGTTTTAGGAACATGCTGTCTAGCGTAATACTTGTCGCTTAGTCAAATACAAAGCTCAAAGCAATCTTGTGTATTTTTGGTCACCTTGACCTTTAAAAGATCAAACAGGGTCACTGACCGTAATGAGCATGCAACCTTTTGCTTAAAAACGGTTATCTAGGTTCTGGGGTCACTTTAGAGACCAACCTGGAACTTGACTTTCTTTGACCTTCTTTGACCCGAAGGTTATATAAACCTAGATACCTGAAACTTTGACCCTAAGCGATTTCACGTACAGGTTAACGCACATTGTAAATTTGGTTTCTCTAGCTTTCTCGGTTCCTGTGATCTCAGGGAAGGTCAAATTGACCCTCCCGCTCCTCCACCACCCGAGTGAAGGGTATCTAGCCGGCCATCCGGGCGCAGGTTAATATTTTTGTTCAAGGCGGTTTTTCAAGGATGAAACGCAGAAGTGGTGATATTCCAAAGGAACTATTCCACGCTTGCATTGAGTTTTAATGAAATAGGTGATTTTCAAGCTCTCTGCAGTTCCCAGTTATGCCCTTTTTAAGTCTTCAAACTCCCTCCTTTCTGATCTTGTCGCTTGCAAACTTATGCAGATTATACCGCGCCACCTTTTTAGAAGGCAACCAGAGGTGTATGCCATAATAGAGACATTACACCAATTCTGCCTCCTCAATGGCCATGCTGTGCTAAATAATATGGTAATTACAAAAAATACAAATTTGGCAGTGGACTTATTCGTATAAGACGTGCGTCAGCATTCCACGTGTTCTGCATCATTTGTGACGTGATACAGACATCTTTAAAAGCATTTTTGAGTTAATATTTTGAGCATATTTACCAAGCGTCAGTATTGTGCTGTCTAGGACGGTCTTTTGCACTTAAAGCTCATAAACAGTTAGAAGTCAGCTTTTCCATCATATCGGATGCTTGTCTCAATGTCTCCGAGCGTGGAACATTCCCTTTAGCTGTTCATGGTTTAAGGAGGCTGAAAAGCTGCTTGGTTTGCCAATAACAGCCTTTGTTTTTAAAGAAAAATAATTTAGAAAATTGTTTTATGGAGCGACCAATCAAAACTTTTGCAAGATACCACCAATAAGCGGTCGAAGGGCTCTGTGCGGATTTCAAGACCGTGCAATCAACTCGCAGCTGCCTTTTTCATCTAAAAATCCTCACTGTTTCCAACAGCGCTTCGCTGCCCTCGCGTCGTTTGGTCTAATGACGCCAGCGGCACGCCGTGGCTAGCACGGTACCACACCGCTGCCGGCCCCGTTAATGAGAACGTCGCCAGACGAGGCTTCGCTGCGCCAGCTTCCCCGCACGCCCCCCCCCCCCCCCTCGGGCATTGTGCTCCATAACAATAGCCTCGTGACGGGCCATACGTGGGGTGGCGCGGTTCTCACGTTACCTGGCAGGCTGCCCACGGCTGGGGGAGGCGACATTGAGTGTGGTGGGGGACGACGGGGAAGCGGGAGGAACCATTTTTAGGTCAGGGGTAAGAGAGGGAGTCCGCGCGGATATTTCCGAAGTGCTCTGTTGGTCTTAGAGACGGCAGCGTTTTTCGTCGTTGATGACAATGTGAAGTTATGGTGCCTAATGTAAAAGCAAAGTATTTAGAGCTTTCATCAAAGTTTTAAACCGGTTAGGACGTGAGTAAATAAGTAAATAATACAAAATAAATTTACACGAAACATTAAAAGCATGTAAATAAAATCAGTAAAAAGGGTCAAATAATTGATACACGTAACATGTCAGGATTTAACTGCTTTAATCGACTTGTTTCTTGACATCTATGTGAAAATTATGGAAAAATGCTAGAAGACAAGACACACTCACCATCACGAAAGCTCGGCGGAAATATAAAGGCCGAGGCCCATTACAAAGCATACTTTTTGCATGCATCAGAGCGGTCGACAAGGTTGGGGCATATAATCAGCAGAAGACGAATCAGAAGAGCCAGCCAAGTATGCAACCCTAACACTGGATAGCCGGGTGCAGGGTCATGCTCACTTGGGCCGGTCGAGCCCCCCCCCCCCCCCCCCCCACAGCCCGCAATCGAGCGCTCTCAACTTGATGGGGAGCTAATCTAAGGTATGATGTTTTTAGCATGTGTTGTGCAAAGACAGAAAGATGCGTATATTTCGTATGACGTATATTTCGCATAACGTATATTTCGTGTCACGTATATTTCATACATGAAACAAATGCAACAAAGTCACTTCCCCTCAGTTTTCTTTCCAATTGCTCCTTTCTCTCCCCTCTGATAGCCCTCAAACACAACATGGAAGGGAAGTACTATTGTAGGATCGCAACCTGAGAGCCTTTTAAACAACAACACAACGTGTTCCAAATCCGGGGGGAAATCATCATCCTGTGGCACTCTAAGCGATTGATCCACGCTAGCCCCAGCCTTTTTGCAGGGCTTTATCCCTGCTGGATATCGCATTGTTTCCTTTAACCGGGCTCAAAACCACGCAAAAATCATCTAGACATGCACGTGCGTGCTGGGTGCCTGAATCCATTGATTAAAGCTGAGACCTACCAGTGGCATCCAATAATAGCGAATAACCTAGGAGTCGTATTGTAAACAGTGAACTAACTCAGACCTTAAAAGGAGTTACCTACATGAGTGGAGAAGTTAGCGTCCTTGCAGCCACCTATGGTCTTGACAGGGGGGGGGGGGCGCTCATCCTGTAATGGATCGAACGAACAACACTGCTACTGAGTTAAGGAAGCAGAGGCGCTACATCCAGCACCGTTGCTGGGCGTACCTAGATGTCGTTTCCTGACATGCAGTGCTCGACTGCTCAACCTCCACGTGCGTGACCCTGGCACCAATAAACCGCGCACTGCCCGGGGGCACGCGCCAGTAGCTGCGCACCCAGTGCCTTGGTTTTCAAGCACGCGAGACGCGCTTCATTAGCCCAGCGCACGCCATGTCGCCGTGCATGGCTTCCAGATTATGGCTTGGAAACATGGACAACTGTCGAAGCACATAGCACTCAATGAGGGCGATTACTGAGGCCGGTGATACATTCCCGCATTACTGCATTACGCATTTACGCAGCGCATTACTTTTGATTGAGATAGCATGTTGTGATTTTTGATGGGGGCATTAACTCGCAACAAATAACGCACATGCCATGAGGGTTTGGCGAATCCCACAATTGAGAGGAAACACGACGCGCGGCATGTCGCTTGGTCAAAACGGCCCTCTCATGACTCGTGATCAAGGAGAACTACATGGCCTTTTGTGTCACAGACAGAGGCCCATGTTTAGCTGCGGACTATATCCGTGTCCTTGCGAAGATCCCAGCCCAACTCCGACAGCGTGGCGCGCATCAGGGGTACGCCTCAAAGAACGAGATCCGACCGGCTGGCCCGTGCCGCTAACCGCAGAGCAAAATACAATCTTGATCAAGAAAGCTCCGAAGAATGATCACGTTTTAAGTTGCTTATAACCGAAAAGGCTTTACTTCTTCCGGCTGGAACAGTACCATTTTATTTCACCTGTGCGTGATGGTAAGCCAAACTCTTCCGTGACCCGGATAACTTTTTTGTGAGTACCTGTCAGATTATGATATGACAGAGTGGTGATCGTGACAGATACATCTGCCAGCACTCCACCGCACACGCGATCTGACAATTTTCCCCCTTCTTTTGGGCTTGGCTTCTTACTGTTGCGTGTGAGGAGAAAGGTCATTGTACTTAGCGTGAGTTCACGACCTCCCACAAATGCGAAGCACAGGATATGACTTATTCCACTCAGAGTCATGTTACATGTTACAAGTAGTTATAGGTAGTTACAGGTAGACGAATTGAGCCAGCTGTAAGCTATTTCCACATACTACCGGCAGTGATTTCGTCATCGAAAAGCGTCGGGCGGAAAAGTTTTGAGAGTGTATGATGAGAACGCGTCGGGCAGAACACCGCCTGCAAGACTGAAGCCTGGCTATGGGCGTGTTCCCTGCTGTGTTCTGTCAAGTCTCGTTGCATTCTCAGGCTCTCTCATACCCTCGCCGTAATGCTAACAAGGAAGCCATCCGGCGGCTGATCCGGCGGAGTTTAGGCCATGACCGCAGGACGAGTGCATGCCTGCCGGCATGCGTCGTCAAAACCGGAAAAATTCGCCGACGTTTGATGATGAAAATCCACGGATGCTTTTGGCGACGCCCATTGACGGACCCCAAACGACGAACCGAAACTGTTGCCCGAAGTCCGGGGTGGGAGTGGGGGGAGGGGGGCGGTTGTAGGCCGGTTCACCCAAGGAGTGCCCGCCTCCACACCCACGTTGTGCGGCCATCCTGCCGCCCCGGACCGCCGCCTACAACGCCTGTCTGCCATGGCGTCGCTGGCAGTTATGGAACACGCGATCGTGGCCGTATAATAGCGCAGCTCCGGAAATAGCCATGAAACTGCTTTCAGCTGGGTTTTCTGAAGTAGTTAGCTCAACATCCAGGCTGAAAATGGACTTGGCTAATGTTTCTCAGGCTACACTGTTATTAGTTCAGGGGAGTTGTCTGGCTCCCCGTGGAAAGGAACGCCTGTTGCGGCTTCTGTCAACAGACAGTGACTATCAAACTATCAGACTAGACTAGACTATCAGACACCGCTGACAGAATGCTATTGGTACCAGCATATGGAACACAACTGAAGTTAACCCAGCCGTGCACGAAGGTCGTGTGATATTTCCAAACGCCTCCCAGCCTTACTTCTTCTTGGCTCAAGCCGCACTCTGCCCTTGTTCTTTCCGGGAGACCCGTTTGTGTTCGCAACAGTTCACACGATGTTTCGGAAACATCTCCTATCTCATAGCACAAGCTCTTGTACTATCCAGAACACATCGATTCCTTTAACAATCCGCGCGGCACTGCGCAGTGGCGTCCACGTGATCGCGACCTCTTGCGTATTCCAGGAGGCATCTTCTTCGCCAACAAAATGCGAGAGCAGGGGTACGTCACCATGCTGGACCCCTTCCAAGAGGTGTTCGGCGGTCGCATGGGAGGGCTGCTCTTCATACCTGCCCTGCTCGGGGAGGTCTTCTGGTCGGCCGCTACTCTTGCTGCCCTCGGTAGGTCGTTTGAAGGTCGTGACCCTTTTGAAGGTCACCGCAGTGTGTTTCACTATCTGGTTGGTTGTCTGAAGTCCCTGCTAGATGGTACCCCAGTCATGGCAAGTTTGGAGGCTGCGCAGAGGCTAACCACCACCTGATAAGGTACAGGAAGGTCCCCACAACGCCATTTTACCAGGCGGATAGGCTGTGAATCATAGTTCTTAGGTCATAGGTCAGCACTGCGTACCCAAGGGATTGCTGTGTGATCATGACTGAGTCGTTCATATGCTGTGTCCAAAAGGATCTTTTTCAGATCCTGCATGGATCAGTAAACACGTGTCATACTTGTAGGTCATTTCAAGGACATGCCGTGCCGCGCTTCCCCACAAGCCGTTTCCGCACATTTGAGATATTTGAGCGTGTTTGTGGATGACTGTTGATTGAGGTGCAGCGTAACCGAACTAACATTCGAGCCAAGTGTCAGAGCAGGGGAATGCAGGTAGGCAAAGAGTAACCCCCGCCGATCCTGCCCAGGGGTAGGTAACCAAGTGTCAGAGCAGGGGTATACATGTGGGTAGAGAGCAATCCCCGCCAACCCCCGCTCAGGAGTATGTAACCAAGAGTCAGAGCAGACCTCAAAAACGTAATTTGTCTTACATTTTTGTTTGGTTTGGTCGGCCAAGTTTGCAGAGCAGTGAGCGGGCAAAAGCGCTTTGAGTGTTCCCCGTCTCTCTTGCAGAAGATCAGCCCACTGGCCTACCTCATTCCCTGGATCTTTACAACTATAACTCTCCATGTCGCAGCCACCTGTTTCCAGTTACTTGTTACTTGTTACAGCCACCATACCGCAGACATTACCTGTTAAGCATATTGTGACGCGACCTTCAAAACCTGCTGTCGACACTGAGTTTTCGCAAATGTCCGCTTGTTCAAGGAAACATCTCGGCATAATCGCTGGCCTTTGAGGTCAGCTATGTTCGGATAAGAACAGACTAGTGCTAAATGTCATCAATACATCAATTGTCCTCTTTTGCATTGCGCCCATGGCAGTAGGTCTTTGCCTGCTTTATCACTATGCGTTACAACTGAACGCCATCATTGACGCTCAGCAACATTCACGAGTGTCCATCAGATTGATAAATTGCCTGTCAGCTACACTGGCATACTACCGACATCACACTCAGCAACATGTTCTGTCACCTCCATCGATGTTTGTCTGACTGTCATTCAGCGCTCCGATGTTCCCGCGTCACTGACACCGCCCTCTTCTTGTGGTCACCTCCCGCATAATAGCTCCTGTTACTGATACCAGCCCCACCAGGTGTCACCCTCAGTACAAAAATTCCGGGCCACTGACACGAGCTCTCGTGAGGCGCCACTTTCAGCGCCTTGACTTCTGTGTCACTGACACGAACCCTCGCCAGGCGCCACCCTCAGTATCACAGCTTTCGTGTCGCTAGCACGCGCCTCCGCTCTGGCGCCACCCTCATCACCTTGTTTCCCACGTCACTGACACCAGACCCCGTTGGGCGCCATCCTCATCACGTTGACTCCCGTGTCACTGACATCAGCCTCCGCCCAGGTGCCACGCTCAGCGTGATCCTCAACTGGGAAATGGAGCTGTGCGTCGTAGTGTCGGCGTGTATCGCCATCTTTTACACGTGGACCGGCGGCTTGTACTCCGTGGCGTACACAGACGTGGTGCAGCTGGCTTGCATATTTTTGGGTCTGGTAAGCCTCTTCAGATATCCGTGGAATGTGGGGGACAAATTCAGCTCAAGGGAGCGTACTGTTGGGGAGGATGCGTGGCACAAGAGTCCAAGTGCCGCAGCTGGAAATACTGTTCTCAAAAGTATTTACAAAAAAGGTAAAACGCAAAATATGAAGGCTTAAAACGTCTTAAATGGTCTCAATGAAAGAAGCATATAATTTTTTACGATTTTTTATGACATTTGACGCTAGCGGATGCCCATAGCTCTTTTTCAGACTCACCCAAATATCATAAGTGTAAGATTCAGGATTGTCTCAACAGCGGGCTTGCATAAGACGTGTCACAATTACCTGAGAGACGTATTTCCATCATCTTGAATTAGTGTAGAGATAGTGTCATTCCTTGGTTTGTCCTTGTCCGGTGTATAGATGCATAGCTCGACTGCCGTTTTGTGTGGTAGGCTAGCTGCAGTCGTAGCGACAACGTGACGACACAGCGAAGTTCTGTGCAGTTTAGCGCAGGCAGCTCGATAATTGTGTACGTGATTTCAAAGCATGACGACTTCTTCACAAATAACGGAATGCCTTTAGTCGTGGATGTGCCCACTAAGACCACGTGACGGTGATCGGTGGTATGCACCGTTGTATCGATATAACTGCAAAAGCAAAATACAACACATGTATATATATATATATATATATATATATATATATATATATAATATACCCACATGCAATATATGATAGCGAGTTGCAAAGCACCATGCATTTATGTTCATGATATGGTAAAATACCATTGTGTGCCATTTACTAGCCCGACTTAAACGAAACTTTAACATGATCGTAAAGCGTTAATATGACGGAAATTCAAAAAGTACACCAAAATGGCGGCCGTTGTTCTTGGTTGGCGGCGTCGGTCTTTCGGGTAAAATATCACCGTGTTTCCAATGGCCTGCGTCTCGCGCCACTTCGTCGGCGGGAAAGGTTAAGTTCTCCCACTGGAGTCATGTGGTTGAGTACGCTCCACCCTTTGAGTTGTAATGGATCCCTGCTACATGGCAGGGAAGTACACCACAGGGACGGCGGTAGATGTCAGATGGCTGCGCCACGAGGCCCCTAATAAAAGAAGAAGCCGCCGGCTGATAGCCTTGTAGTTAATGAAAGTCGTCGACAGACGTAAATGCTCATGAATGTTGCGGCCCTTCGCGACAGTCGCTGTGGCAGTCAAAACATATGTGTGGTCGTTTAACCCAAACTTTGGAAAACTTCGGTCGTGAATTGAACATACGCGCTTCTGTACGGTTTCGCTGCGCGTCATGGAAGCAACATTGCGCTTTCTTCGTGACTGTCTTGTGGAGGTCCATATGAAAGCACTCTTTTTCGAAGACTTTGATCATTTGGCTGGCAAGGGATTGCAAGCAGCATTGTACAGCAAAGAAGTGGTCTCGTGCCGGCTGGTGCCTCTGTAAAAATGTGCTTTGCTTCAGTCAATTACAAACACTGTCAGACCAATTTAGCAGACCGTATATTTCAAAAGGCTCTTCTTTTTTCTTGGTGGCCACAAGAAAAGCGAGCTATGTCCCTCAGCCTTGTTCCCAGAAGTGCATCCTAGGTATGCGGCAAGCACATCGATTTTCATCATGATATGCAAATCGCATGATGGCTTACTAATGACGCTTGTGCGAATAATTTACCTCCATTCGCCGATAATACTCAAGTGTTGTGCACGTTTGTCTAAGGCCAAACTGAAAACCGCTGACCGTAATCATGTGGTGTGCGATGCACGTATCCTCGCTGGAACAGCCCATTGCACATCATTCCTCAAACAGCGGTGTTCGACTTGGACCCACTGAATTAGAGCAGAGGCACACCGCACTGAATTGAAAACCGATCATGCAAGCATGCGGTACTTACATGCGTAACATAAAAGGCACAAACGAAACTGATGTTGGGTTCACGCATCGCTGAGAAGAGTGCAGACACGCCCACGTGGCTGCAACGCCTCTGCAAACCCCTGTGATTCAGTATCAGTATCAGTATGATGGGCCCCATCTACTAAGTAACTATTACAGTTTCAGGTCATACAGCTGCTGTATGAAAAGCACATACAAAAGGCATTTACAAATTATATGGACAATGGTTAAAAAGCACTATGGGTCGGATAAGATCAGTTGTCAATCGTTTAAATCATATCGCTTGTGGCGGTCTTAAACCCGCTCAGCATTGTGGCATGGCGGGTGTACGATGGCAGGCGGTTCCGGGCAGCTGCGTCTCGATACGAAAACGCCCTCTGCGCGGTGGTCAGTCGGTGTCTGCGCAGCTGTAGACTACCTCTGTCCGAGGCGCGCGTTTTACGACTCAAAACAGCGGCGCGTGGGGCGAAAAGCACGCGGACCTCGCGAGGTGCGCCCACGTCCTGCAGTGCCTTAGACACTTTTATCACCTCGCGGTGCTCCCCCTTGACCTCGATCCTCGGCCATCCCAGAGAAATTGGAGGTGGAGTTTTATGATGATGTTTTTGAAACCGGTTATTAATATTTGTACTATATTATTATTTATTATACTATTATCTTATTACACCGGTTATTTTGAAGCCGAGTTACTCTTGCAGCAAAGTTGATATATATTTTTTTTAAATTTGAGTGGTTGACTCTCGTTTGCCCAACCCCACACGCACAGGCAGTACGTGATATGAGGAATACGTAGGCTTGGATGATGATTTTGAGAAGATGTGAAGGAAAGCAATGACGCAATTTGTACAGAGAAACGAAGATGATCCGTATCTTAAAGCCCTTGGCGTGGCTCGTTTAGGCAGGGGCCACACCGTGCGTAACGTTCGTCGTTCGTAAGCGCGTAACGTTCCTCGCAGCTGGTCTCAGGAAGGAGCCTCGTTGCTTTCAGAGGGCCTCGTCGGGCGGAACACTGCCCTCCATCCTCTCACGTCTTCTCAGCACTACTGCCCGCAGGTGCCACGGCGAATCCGCGTGTTCACGCTTTCCTCCACGTCCGATCCGGCAGGCTTCATGCTGAGTGGCAGCCTGCAGCTCAGCAGGGCTTCGCGCCTCCCCACTTCGCGGCCGCCCGCTTCGCGACTCTCCTACTTCTCCGCGCTTCACGACATCCCCAATCCGCAGGCAGCACGTCGGGCTCCGACTTCTCCGCACCTCATGGCGTCCCCAACCCACAGCCAGCACGTCGAGCTCCGACTTCTCCGCACTTCATGACGTCCCCATCCCACAGGCAGCACGTCGGGCTCCGACTTCTCCGCACTTCATGACGTCCCCATCCCGCAGCCAGCACGTCGGGCTCCGACTTCTCTGCACCTCATGGTGTCCCCAACCCACAGGCAGCACGTCGGGCTCCGACTTCTCCGCACTTCATGGCAGCTCCAACCGCAGGCAGCACGTCGGACGGTACCCGTCCCACGACTTCAAGACATTTCGAACGGCAGGTGCCAAGCTAAACATCGGCCTCAAGCTGCGTAGAACTTCACGCGGTTCTCCAACTTCTCAGCACTTTACGGCATTCCCAACCCGCAGGTGCCACGCTGAATGTGATCCTGCAAGTAGGGCACGAGGCGAGTGTCGTCATGTCCGCCTGTATCGCCGTCTTCTACACCCTCTTCGGCGGTCTCTACAGTGTGGCCTACACCGATGTCGTGCAGCTCATCTGCATCTTCATCGGGCTGGTGAGCTCGGCGGCGGCTGCTTTCGCGTCTTCCACTGCTGCGACCTCGCTTGGCATGCGGAAGATGGTGGCGACATGAGCCCTCTCTGGTCGCACCCGGGCAGAATATTCTGTACTCCTCCACAAGTTCTTTATGGGTTTCTAATTCCGCTTTGCCAGCATTCACAGGTTCGCTGTTTGCCTCTGTCGACATGTCGACAACTGCAAGCGGCTTCGCTGTTATTCTTGCTTGCTCTTCGGTTTGCTTTCTCTCTTCATCTGCGGCTTGCGGCATGTCTTCCACCACTTCCTCTCTTTTATCTCGTGTGCGCATTACCTTTCCAGCAAATCGCACAGGTTGTTGCGTGTTCGCGAAGTTCGGCATCTGCCAAAGAGTTGTTCCTGCACCACTCAATCGCACAGGACTCTCCATAACTTGGAATGGGACGCTTTTGCCTCTGTGCGCATGAACCACAGCAACGGCATCCCTACAGTGACGGGGAAGTGGAGAGTGTTAAGTCCAAGGCCAATGCGATGCAAGAGGAAGAGCAGGCGATGACACAAACGTAGCGTTCGGCGTGACTGAGGTTCGTCACGTCTTTCGTTTCATGAACCGGATGCTCTTGCTATTACGATTTCTGAAGAAACGCATTATCGTCATGGGCCAAAGCTCGGTGGCCCATGTGCAGGAGTGTGCCCAAAACATGACCACATGGAAGCTGATACCAGACGATTTAGCCAAGAACCAGACAAAGAGGCGTGCGCAAATCCGTGGGGATATCTTTAACGCAGAAACTCACGCACACAGTGGAAATGAGAGGACGTGGCGTCAAATGAAGCATCAGAACTCGTTTCAGCAATAAGGCAATAGTAATAGCCTTCATCCTCGGAGAAAAATCTGAGAATGGAGATATAGATGGGCTGATATTTCGGCAACATGCTTCTATCGAAACAATAGAAGAAGCGAATCGAATTTACAAATATGTGGTAGGAATTGGAATTCACTTTTGCAATTGTTTCAATAGACGTATGTTGCCGAAATATCAGCCCAACCTTATCTCCATTCTCATGGTTTCCCTCCGATGAATAAAGCTATTACTACTGTCTACCATATACATTATGTTCCTCGCAAATGCACTGAACAGCTTACGTAATTCTCGTTTCAGTGAAGTCATTTCAGCAAACTTCAGGGGCTTTGTAGCTGAACCGATTGACTGTACCCGGACACAATTGTGAAATCCTTGTATTTAAGTCTCAAACTAATTTATCGATAAAAGCCATCCCGTGCCTGCAATTGCCATAAGGTATAGCTCAACTGCGTGAATAAAGGTTCTTCAGCATGCATGGACAATTACTTAATTTTCTCTGAGTTGTTTCACGGATCCCTACCACTAATTTGTAACCTAAAGAATCCACTTACGGAATCAGAGCACTAACGTCCACCAAACGTTCGTGCCTCGCCATACAACCTTTCAAGACGCCATTTAGCCCTCATCTCGCACCCCAATTCTCTTCCTCCTTAACTCCAACCATCTTATAGATGCTGTGAAGTAGCCTGGCTTGACTTTGCCGGCGACCCTGGCAAAAAAAATCATTCGCACGTCCACACCAAAAGCGCCCACGTTTTCTCAGCACGTGCGGCCTGGATAAACAGGCGAGCGCCGGTCACGGAGGCCTCGCCGAGCTCAATTCGCCGCTCCATATCACCGTCTTGTTTGGATGGGATCGGTCCTCGGAGGGGAGCAGGGGCGCAGTCAGGGGAGGAGCGCCGGGGGTGTACCCCTCCCCCTCGGCCCTATGTCCCGAGGGGTCCGGAGTGGCACTCGGGAGTTCGATACCAATGATCAGGGGTCCGATTGGAGGGCGCGAAAGGCCCGAAGGACTGGCCGGAGTTTAGAGTTAGTATTAAGAGGCCCCATCCTGCAGGCCCTGGACCGTAGCGTGTCAGTCAGAGGGAATATGGTGCTGATCAGAACCGCCTGTGAAAGTGGGGCCCCTTTGCCTGTCAAAGACCGATAGTACCGAAAAGTCGGCCCGTGTCGGCCTGGGAGCCTATTCCCAGGCAGGGGCGAGGCCTGGCCCTCGAGTGTCAGAAGGCCTCCAGCAATGGCGGGACCTTATGAAAGGAGGACAATAAAATGGCAATAAAAAGGTTTTAAATGACACAATGAAAGGACCCGGAATCATTCAGAGGGCCCGGGTATCGAGCTGGGAATCATTAGCTCCCTTGCGGTCAGTGACTCGATTAGACTACTTGAAGCCCCTGAGTCATTGGTCAGACCCTCTTCGCCAGCAAGGGCTTCTTTCACCTGGGCCAACGGCCTCGGCAGAGGGCCTCCTGCAGTGGAGAGGAGATATTGTAAGTCAGTTGTTAGACCCTCTTCGCTAGCAACGGCTTCTTTCACCTGGGCCAACTGCCTCGGCAGAGGGTCTCCTGCAGTGGAGAGGAGATATTGTTAGTCAGTTTGTTAGAACCTTTCGCTAGCAACGGCTTCTTTCACCTGGGCCAACTGCCTCGGCAGAGGGTCTCCTGCAGTGGAGAGGAGATATTGTTAGTCAGTTGTTAGACCCTTTTCGCTAGCAACGGCTTCTTTCACCTGGGCCAACTGCCTCGGCAGAGGGTCTCCTGCAGTGGAGAGGAGATATTGTTAGTCAGTTGTTAGACCCTTTTCGCTAGCAACGGCTTCTTTCACCTGGGCCAACTGCCTCGGCAGAGGGTCTCCTGCAGTGGAGAGGAGATATTGTTAGTCAGTTGTTAGACCCTCTTCGCTAGCAAGGGCTTCCTTCACCTGGGCCAACTGCCTCGGCAGAGGGTCTCCTGCAGTGGAGATGAGATCGATGCATGATGCGCTCCTCTAAGGGCCTCCGTATCGACAAGGCGGCCTTGACCCCGGATGGCCGCGTAATCAGAAAAATGGCCCCTATAATATGTGAACAATGGCGTCCTTTCTCATGTGCCTCTTGTACCGGAAACGCAAGGGTATGTAATCTCAGTGTGTAATCAGTGTGTAATCAGTGTGTAATCCGTCCGTCCCTCAGTGTGCGCGCTCATCAGTACGTCCCGTCCCTCCCTCAGTGTGCGTCCCTCCCTCCCACGTCCCGTCCCTCAGTGTGCGCGCTCATCAGTACGTCCCGTCCCTCCCTCAGTGTGCGTCCCTCCCTCCCCACGTCCCGTCCCTCAGTGTGCGCGCTCATCAGTACGTCCCGTCCCTCCCTCAGTGTGCGTCCCTCCCTCCCACGTCCCGTCCCTCAGTGTGCGCGCTCATCAGTACGCGTAGCAAAAGAAGGAACAAATCGGGGTTTCTCGAAGTAAAGTGGGCTAAATCTCATGAGCTTAGGAGGGGTGTTTTAACCGGAGTCCGTTATTAAGTGCTATGCCCGCTGCCCTAATCAATACTATGGCTAAACCCATGCCCAGGAATGAAAAGCGAGCAGTGCAGCCAGCTGAGTAGCGCGATTTCCCAGTCGGAAATAGGTCATTATGGGTTGTCAGAGCAACTTAGTCAGCGCATTGCTCTGGTCTATTTTGGTGTGTCCTGGATGGAACGATCGTTGAATTATTACTACTGCCAATCAGCTATTTATGGCTGTTTGTGTGATCAAGAGCGCCGCAACTAATCATGCCTTCGTAATGTGCAGTGTGTAAACACTTGATGCTGATCTCTCCAACCGTCCATGCCGAGGAGGAAATGACAGAGGAAATTGTTGCAACTTTTACGCCCTCTTCAACGGAAGGCTGAGGTGCTTTTCTACATCGAAAATGGCAAATTCGTGGGTAAATTTTAATTTGACTAACACATGGCTTGTCGCAATGTTTAGCACTTGTACTGACTCGAAAATCGGAAGAACTACGCTTTGGATACTTTTATAAATGCATACATACATACGTACGAAACCATTCCAAAATGGCTCAAAAGGCTACAGTCAAAATCTTTCGTTCCATCAGAAAAGGCTTTCAGCTCGACGGTACCCTGGTGGTGTCTGACCCTTTCTACCACTGTCTACCGCAGTCTACTGCTCACCACAAAAAAGTTTTTAAAAAAGTTTAGACGCGATTTCACGGTCTTTGAAATGTCTTCTTTCTTTCTTGCTTTGCTCCAGTGACTTTGCGGACATTCTGGGGTTCAGCACAGAGGGTGGCTGATTTGCATAGACTTTTACCAAAAGCGCACTGCTACCCAGACCTTCCACGTTTCAATCACGTGTGGAGAACAGTGCGAGAAACTGGCATAGTGAGTTTAGAGCAAGCGTCTCACAGCGGAGAAATTGTATATTCATTTCGGAAAAACCTTGCGAGAGCTGCCTCGCCTGGCATGTCACCCTGCTCGCTCAAGGTAAGACGACCCCCTCTTCAAGCTGGCTAGCGTCCTGGAGGTGCCCTGGGCAGCCAAGAGCATTCCAAAGGCCGATGAAATCCCACCATGACACAGCTGACGGTCGATGTAAGGATTCAGATCGTTTTGCTCCCCGCTCCCTTCTCACCTTTCGCAAAAACAGTCAGGCCTTGGGGACGCTTATAGTCCCCACATAGCCCAACCCACATCCACATGGGCATATGTACACAGCAGCGCAGGTCAGAAATAGCCGCGAGCGTGCGTATTCCTAAGCTTCCCCAAGCTCCCGTGAATCAATACCGCCATTGACCCAGTGGTGCGATGCGCCCGCTGATTGGTCGCTGGACGCCCCACTGGCGAACCAGCTGATTGGTAGGTATGCAGTGGGGTCCCCCAGCCCGGAGATTCTGCGTTAATGATTCAAGCGGACCGAATGGTGCAATAATTTTTGACCGACACCTGCCGAACTGAAACGCGGTCTGCGGATGGAGTCGTGCAATGGGAAATGCGCGCGGGTCTTGATTTATATATATATATATATATATATATATATAATGATGCATATTCCGAAACACCTTTGACAGTACCGTTATGCTTGCTGCTTTTTTACCCACGGTTTTGACGGTTTTGACGGACGGTTTTGAGCTGTTTAATACACATCTCGGTATTATGCCGATTATTTTACAGGGATATATATATATATATATATATATATATATGTATATATATATATATATATATATATATATATATAATGTGCCTATGCAACGCGGATTGTTATCATCTGATTGATTGACAATTTCATGTCAGTTGAATTCCAAAAATGGTGTGAGAGAACACCGAAAAAAGTCTAAGACCATCAATCCAAGATCAAGATAAGACCAAGATCAGAGTATGAATGTCATTTCGTGCATGCCAAATCGACGTTGCGCTTTGCACGCTTGATGTACAATGTTGGCAGCACGAGCATGTCTTCATGAAACATGTTTTATTATCTTTGCGCCAAACATGCACGTGGAAACATGCTGTTTTTGTCAGTGGATTCCACATTTACATCGACCAGTTCTTTCTTGTCAGTCAAATTGGCCGGTAGATGATACTTCGCTAGTAGATGGTAGGTAGGTTCGCTAGGTAGATGATCGATAGATGATGATAATTCTGCATTCTGAGTGATGGCTCATCTACATTCCTCCGTGTGAAGGAAACCACCGAACGTTTGCACTGACTCAGCCAGCCAATAGCGCTGTAATGATAACGGTCAAAGTTGAACGATCAACCACGAGACGAACAAAGCCGCTCCTCATGCAAACCCGCCGGGACGCAGTAGCTGCACATAACCCGGCCGTCGGCAGTGGCTGTGCATACCGTTCGCGT